AGGTAGGAAAGGGAGTAGGGGGAAGACGGACCACGAGCGAGTGAAGCTGATGAAGGGGTGGGGAGGTAGTTGTTTGTGTTGTGTGAGTGAGTGAGCAGGGTCGGTCCATGCGCCCCCCCCCATGGCGGTCGTCTAGGTGGTCGGGTGTGGTACGGCGGCGGCGGCGGCGGCGGTGAGTGAGAGTTGTGCGAGTGAGTGTGAGTGGGCGGCGCAATCACCCCTCCCCACCCCTCCCCCTCCCCCTCCCTTTACATCATCCCGAGGTCGCCTACTGGTCCGTTCTGCTCTGTCCTTGGCAGCAGCTTCACTGGTTCGTGGTTCGTCTTTCCCCTCCTCCCCCTCCTCCCTGTTACCTTTGCCGCTCTCTCCCCCCCTATGTGTCCCTTCTCTCAGCCTTCTTATCAGGCACTCTTCCTTTGTCTTTCGGCATCACCTTTTTCTATCCCTCAGCTCCCCACGTTTCCTAATCCTTCTCCACCAGCATCCCGCCGCTCTCCTTTTGCTTTTGTAGCAGCCTGTTTGGTGGTCCTAACTGTCTCCTTGGTAACTTCCCCAACCCGCTCTTACTCCCCCTGGCCCCCATTTCAGCACCGCGCTCTCACCAAACTCGCTATTGCTCAGTCCGTCCCTATCTCTCTTCATCTAATACACCCTTTCGCACCTCACCCTTGTGCGCGCTTCCGCCCCACCCCACCCTTGTGCTTGGCAGCTAGTTTTATGTTTCGCAACCTGGCAATGGCGTCGTTGACCCTCGCCAACACCTCCCTATTCACGTCATCATGGGTCGGTAAATATATTCCTGATATGCAGTATTCGCCTTCGCCAGTTGCATCTACACCGTCTATCGTCTGTGCTTCGTCGTACACCCCCCCCCTCCCCCTCCTTCCTTCGTCCTTCTCCTCCCGCCCCGCTCAATCCCTTGCCTAAACTTTCCTGTTACCTCCCTCCTCCTTCCTCGCCAACGCCCCCAACCGCCAACCGCCAACTGCCAACTGCCACTCCCTTCATCAGATCGTTCACGACTACGGCCACCCCGGCCTCACCAACGACTTTCTGGTGGCCACCTCCCACCCCCTGGCACTGAGGTACAACGACCGAGCCCCCCTGGAGAGCCACCACGCGGCCGCGGCCTTCACTCTGCTAGCCGACCGACCTGACCTGGACGTCACTGCGGGCCTTATCGCCGCGGAGAGGGCGGCATTCCGGAAGCAGGTCCTAGAGCTCGTCCTGGCCACCGACATGAAGCAACACTTTGCCGTACTCAACCAGTTTAATACGGTACATAGACTGGCTGGCAAGGTGGATAGCGGCTCGGGCTCGGGGGGGGTTGGGGGGAGCGCAACGTTCAATGGCAAGGGGGACAACGGGAATGCAGCAGCTGCAGCTGGATCAGCGGTTAAGCACCCGCGTATCCACCACTGTGGTGTCGTACAAAGTGCCGTAGACGGATCACTGGTGGCGGTGGCGGTGGAGGGAGAGGCGGGGTGTGGCCCGAGTGGAGGTGATGGGAAGGTGGAGGTGGTGGCGGCCCCGGTGCCGCTGAACGAGACGGAAAGACTTCTGACGCTACAGGTGCGTGCAGGGGTTGAGGCGAGGGGGGTTGAGAGGGAGTGAGATGGTGGGGCAGGGGAGGTGAGAGGGAGTGAGGGGGTGGGGGCGGCGCGGGTGAGAGGGAGTGAGAGGGTGGGGGAGAGAGCGGGAGAGGATGGAGAGGGAGAGAGGGAAGAACGGAAAGATTGAGGTAAGGAGGGGAAGTGAGGACGGAAGGATGGGAAGAGTTGGGGGGTTGGCGGGGCCTGTTGGTGGTGACAGATCCGAACACCACTGTTTGACCGATTGGGCCGCTCGGTAAGCTAGCTACCGAAACATATGAGGAATGCGGGATGTTCCACATGTGTTTTGCCGTACACGCACCGTACAGGTCATGTTTAAGGCTTCCGACATCGGCCACCTGGGGGCGAGTCCAGAAAATCACAAGAGGTGGCTTACCTGCCTTGAGGAGGAGTTCTTCCGTCAGGGCGACCAGGAGCGCCAGAGGGGCCTCCCAGTCAGTCCCCTGTTTGACCGGGCCAAGCAGGGAGTCAGCAAGAGCCAGGTGGGGGGTTGGGGGGAAAGGAGGGGGGTTGGGACGGAAAGGGGGGAAAATGGGGAAGGGGTTGGTGGGAAAGGTGGGAAGATTGGAACAGGGAGGAAAAAGGGAGAAAGGGAGGGAGGCGTAGGGGGGGGGTAGGGCGGGGGGGGGGGGTACATATGGGCGCAACAAATAGAGGAAGTGGATGATAAATGATGGTGTCGACGACGATGCCCAAATATGGACACAGCTGAGCTGGAGTGTTGCTGTGACTATCAGTCTCACGCAATGGCCGAGGTCGCTACTCTCCGCCCCTCGCTCCCCCCTCCCCCGCAGCAGCATCACTCGTCTGTGGTCCGTCTTCCCCCTTCCCTCCCCCCCTCCCTCCCGTCTTCCCCCCTCCCTCCCGTCTTCCCCCCTTGTCAATTCCACCATCTAGTTCGACACCTTCTGCGTCATCCTGCGTCGACTTTGCATTTTTGTTTCTTTTTAGTCCCTGCGTCATATTCCGCTTTCATTTAGGTTCTTTAGGGCTTCTTATTCCCGGGTCCCCTAGTCAGCCAGCTTAATATTTCCTTTCAGCGGCACTCGCACTTTCTCATCTCGCTTGCTGTTTACAAACGTTGCAACCTCTCTGCCTCGCATGTGCTCTTGCCCGCCGCTTCTGCTGCCTTGCCAGGTGAGTCCGAGTAGGTTCGAGAGCTTTGTCGGTGTATCGCGTTCGCGTTCGCCGGCTCGGCGGACTAGGATTGCTGGGTCGGTCGGGTCGGCGCATGTGGGGGGGGGTTGGGATGAGCACTTGCATGTCACCAGCTCTTTATCACCAGCAGCTTATCAGCCGGATTTGCTACGATCTCGTAAATGCCGCCGCCAGGCCGGCGGCAAATATTCTTTTCCAGCTTACGTCAGCACTACTTTTTCGCCGCCTGTACACCTACCTTTACTTCCTTACGGCTTCGTTTTACTTTTCTTCCGCTCTTACTCTAGTCTTGGCGGCTAGTAGGTAGGTTTCCGCGGTCGTCTTCATTACATCATCCCGAGGTCGCCGCCTTCAAGAACGCCTACTGGCCAGTTCTGCTCCTTGGCAGCAGCTTCACTCGTTCGTGGTTCGTCTTTCCCTCCCTCCCTCCCTCCCTCCCTCTCAAAGGTGGGGTTCTACGACTTCGTGGCGCTGCCGCTGGTGCGAGCCGTGGCGGAGGCCTTCCCTGGAGCGCTGCCCCTGCTGCGCTGCTTCTCTGAGAATTACAAATACTGGAAGGAGCTGGAGGCGGAGGCGTCAGGGGCGGCGTCAGAGGCGACGGCAGGGGCGTCAGCGGCGGCAGGGGCGGCGTCAGGGGCATCAGCGGCGGCGGGGGCGGCGTCAGGGGCATCAGCGGCGGCGGGGGCGGCGTCAGGGGCATCAGCGGCGGCGGGGCCGGCGGCAGGGGCGTCAGCGGCGGCAGGAACAGCATTGGCATCAGCGGCGTCAGGGGCGACGTCAGGAGCATCAGCTGGTGATGAGGTGCCACCAACCCCAGCACCAGTACCAGCGGCACCATCGAAGCCGGCAGCTTGGGAGTCGGAATGCGGTGGACGTAGCTCTGATAACAGTAACGCCACAACCCCCGCCGCTACTGCAGCTACTACCTCAGCCACATGAGCAGTTGGTAAGTGAAACGCTGGTGAGCCACCGGGGGCCAGCCGGTGACGTCATCGTACCCCGTAGGGCCTGGGGTCCGTCATTCCGGAAAGGCGCGTCCGTAATACTGGATTATGAACATAAACCTACCTACCTACCTAACCACCTATCTAACCACCTACCTAACCACCTACCTACCTACCTACCAGCTTTACGATTGGGGCCGAGGTTGTTCGCGCCGTGCAAAGGTGGGCATCTGCCGATCAAGCAAGGCATGGTGACTGGAAGCTAAGGCGGAGGAGGACGAGGAAAACGAGGCATTTGTGCTGCCTGTTCTGCGTCAGCATGGCCGGGTTTGGAGGTCGTGCCTGCCGGTGGTGTGTGCGTGGTGGGGCTGCTGCTGTGGTGTGCATTACCCGGCAGTGCTGTAGGGGATCTCAGTGGTGGCCAGCGGTATAGCATTAGGTAGAGACATATATTAGTAGCAAATGATGGCGGTGGTTCTGACTGGTGCTCATGTTGTGTTTTGCATGCAAGCGGGCTGAAGCGTGTTGGCGAGCAGTTGCTTGTTATGGCAGAGTGGTGGCGGCGGTGCTGGTGCTGGTGATGGTTGCTGGTGATGATGGTAGGTGGTGGTGGTGATGGTGGTGGTGGTGGTGGCGGCATGTGTGGTGGTGAAGGACGTGACGGTCTCGACAGCAGAGGATATACGAATAAATGGTACTGGTAATGGTAGGTGTCCGGAGCGGCTATAGCATATGCATGCACATATGTTTGCTTACGTAAGGTACAGTGGTATAAAGGTACGTTTAAAGGTACTAACATGTAGATATCGTGGCGTTACTAGCACGCAGCGGGCTATCTTAATTAATGGTTGGCAGTTAATCTTAATGGTTGGCAGTTACAGTGTCCGCACAAGTGCAGAGGGCTCCGTCAAATCCGCTCATTTAAACTATAGAGGCTGGCCCCGCTGAAAAGGCCTCTCCCGAGATATGCTGGTATTCGCACGTGTTTCTAGTTTTGATCTGTGTGCCGCACTTTGTGTACCAGCGACTACATAAACACGTTCGTCATTCACGAGGGCTGCACGATTAGGTCGAAGCACGACAAAGTGCGATGAGGATGTACACTGCTGTACGCTAATGCTTTGCTGTGCGGATGGGCATAACCGGTATCAACTGCCGTACAAATTAATGGCGTTGTCGTACCTTTAGCGGGACAAGAGGCATGCTTCGGTTTCAGCAGAGATAAGTAAATTAAATACTTCCAGATTCACTGTACAGGCTTATGCGAAACCTTTTTGTCGTTTTTTAGTTGCCTCACACTTCTTAGCTACGGCGATGGATGCGAGCATTTCGACATTAAAACTACAACAGATGGATAGTAACTACTCCGTAGACTACGGACATATCTACCGCCGTCCGTGGCGGGCTCCGTTCCTAGATACCTCCGGATACCCCCGCTAGACACAAACTACAACTCGGTCTTCCCATCCTAAACAGGAAGAGGGAGATTAATATATTCATGTTTTTATGCATGTTTTTGAATGGTCCTTCCGGTGCCGCTGGTAGGTAATATTTATCCTGGCCCGTGTGCCAGGATGATGGACGAGCACCTGCCGTGAATACCCCAGCACCACGTGCAACCCTCCCAGCCAGTCCAGTCCAGTTGTTTTTGTTATTTCCAATTTTCGTGCACACACTGAAGCGCACACGTGCCCAGCCCCATGCACACGAGGGGGCAGTGCTCCACCGATTTCTCTCACTTCCCCCAGCAAACAGCAAACATCTCTTCAGGAGCCGCATCCTCTTTGCTAGCATCACTACAAAGCTGGACAATCACTGCCTGACATAATAGTGTACGCGTGAGTCTTGGTTTTGCATTTGTGTCCGCAGGTTGTGGACACAGACACAGACAGAGACACACGCGGAAATTCATGTGAATGTTCGAAGCGAGGACATAAACAGTCGACCGACCATCGTAGAAGTAATGCGAAGACATGTTACCACTGGTGGAGCGGTCCTTATTAGGAACTAGTACAAGTTCAACAGCCCGCCAGACTTGCGGACAAAGGCTGTGTGCGTTTGTACTCATTTTGCTGAATTGTACTACATTCAACTAATAGAGCTCCAGAACACTCGGCTTCATCATGCACAGTCATGTTTTCTCATTTAAAAAGTGATGCTAGCGTGATGTACTTAGAAGGCGTTTAGAATTAATCTCATGCATTATGACCACTTCAGCCAAACAATCCTTCGATATGTTCTGAAGGCACCTCAGTCATTCTTTCCGAAATGAACACGGAATGAGAACGGAATGGACGCCAAATGAAGGAATAATTCCCGGGGAATCGAAGGGGTGGCGGTTCCTAGGTTGTAGCATAGATACGGCAAAAAACAAGTCATTCAGCAGGGCTCCCAGGGGATGGATTTAGGGCGTTGGCCTCGTCCTTGGCCGACAATTTTGCCAGCGGCAGTCACTGGCGCAGTCAAGCTCGCGCAGTTACATGGCAGCGGACAGCAACAAGGTCACCAGATGTTAGGCCACCACGCGTGCAGGGTGATGAGGGATTATCTTCATTTAATAAATCAAGTTTAGGCCGACGTTCATCATCCGGCAGCAAGTTCCGGTGGTGCTGGGTGCGGTACGCAAGTCCGAATGCGGAATTGGAGAAGAGCGGAGAAAGTCGGCCAGACATCAGTTTGGGTGGGTTAAGGCGCGGTGTCCTGAAACAATGAAAGAAGCAGGGAATCGCCGGTGGCCACATCTTCCTGGCGTGAACTTAAGGAACCTCGTTCCTTCCCGTGTATGAGAGTGTCTGTTTGGGGGCAGCTTAGTCGTGGATTTGATTAGGTTTTTATGTGACCATGTCTGGTCTGCCGAGGTCTTGTAAAGTTTTAAAAATGTTTTACAGTACCAAAATTGGTTGAAGAATCTGGTTGAGAATTTGCTCCCTCTCGTCATTACAAGTTGATGCAATCCATGCTTAGGGGATGTTAATGCAAGCCCAATGGCCTTGCTCATGCATGCCCTGGCAGTTGCATAGGTTTACGGGACTGTGGCGGAAAAAGTTTCTCGGCACTAGCAAGTGATCATGCCGTGAATATGATGTTAAACATCACGTTCCCTTCAGACTATTGCAACCTTACTGAACGCAGCCGATCGACCGCACGTCCCAGCTGCTTGTACAGTACGAGGGCAATTCCGGCGCAGCATGCGTTGAGGGAGCTGTACTCGGTTAGATGGATGTGAATACATCAGATATTTTTCTGGTATCTTTTCAAATCAATGCTCGAATGATACCAGCGTCCAAAGTTGAGGCACTTGCCGATGCATTGTGTTATCTGGGAAACGGCTAAAGATTGACAGATTGTGTCGAGAGTTGTTTTCATAGCAAGGGTATTTTGCTTAGCTTTGCAGCATGGACGGAGGGGGACCTGGGGGCAACGCGCCGTTGGATTCAATGGTCGAGGCGAAAGCAACCACATGGAGAGATTTGCCGGATCATCTGCTGGAGGTATGTAAAGGCTGGTTTGCATCAGCGATAATACATGCATAGAGGACCTTGATGCGATGCGCGCAAAGTGTGCTTCCCATAATGATTTCCTTAGAGTTCTTCCATCAAATGCCTGCCTATGGACACATCATAGCCTGATAAGTGCAAAACCGTGTTCCTTGGTTGTCGCCTCTCAATTGCAGCGACAAAGCAGCTCGGTCACTGCCCTTGCTTGTCAGGAGACGGCCTAATACCCTATTTGCAATTTATGCTTCTATCCCTCTCGCTGCTGCTCGGTATTGCAGACCATTCTGAACCTTGGGCCGATGGCTCCCTGCAACCCCCGTATCCCTTGCCACACAACAACAGGCTATCGGCTCGCATGTTTATGGTATTGACTATCTGACAGCGCGCCATGTCTGCCATGCCTGGCGTCGCGCACTGTCGCCGATTACTCGGACAGTCAAGGTACGTGAGGTAGCTTGCGCGCGTGTGTTTATATTTGTGCTTGTGTACGCCACCAGGGGAAGATAATCACAGGAAATGGTTCAGGAGCATCATCCATCCTTCCAAACACCTACCGGTACTTCTAAACCCAGTTCGTCCTTAAGTCTGCTGAACCTTCCCCCCGGCCTCCCTTCCTCCCCCCCTCCTAGTTGGGTCAAAAGTCCAAGTTGGCTGTGTTTCCTTTTATCCCCCTTCCACCCCGCTAACCCCCACCCCCGGTAGTCAGGTGCTTTTTAATACGTCGTCGTCAGCTAATCCCCTTCTATTCTTTTGGCGCCACCACCACCATTACCATCAGCAGCAGGAGCAGCATACCAACATTACCATCACCATCATCATCACCACCACCACCACCACCATCATAATCCTCATTACCAGCGCCATCATCATCACCACCACCATCATCGTTTCCATCATATGACTTCCCCCCCATCTCTCCCCCTCCTCCCCCCCCCCCACCCTGCCACAGATGAATCTCCACCACGCGGGACTGGATCCAGCGGCCCGACTTGGGGCGATGCAGCGAGCGTTCCCAAGGTGGGTTGGTGACAGGGTTGGGGTGGTGAGGGGGGGGTATCTAATCCGCCGCCTCCGCCTCCTGCTCCTGCTCCTGCTCCTCCTGCACCTGCTCTTCGTCCTCCTCCTCCCCTTCCTGCTCCTCCTCCTCTTCCTACTGCTCTCCGTAGGGTAGGGACGCCGGTAGGTGTTTTGCCAGTTAGGGCCCCGAAAGCGCGCAGACGGACAAGATTTTTGCATTACATGACAATAACCATGATGATGATGATGATGTGATGATGATGATGATAACGCTGATGATGGTGTGATAATTCCTCCCCGCGATGATGCCGCCCTTCCTCACAAATGAACGTCTGGTTGCATTTCCACGGTCGCCATCATCATGGGCGTCATCATCACCTCCGTGTCACCCTCGCCGTCGTGATCGTTATCATGATGCTCAGGGCCTGCCGCATGGCCCTCTACGTGGATGCGAACTCGGAGCGCGGCGAGGTCGACCTCGTCGTGAGTTACCTTTTCCCCATTACCTCTCTTTCCTTGGTTGGCAGCAGCTTCACTCTTTCATGGTCCGTCTTTTCCCCCTCCCCCCCGTGGTGGGGTGGGGGCTTGACACCTCACTTGACACCTGGCCTCTGGGCGGTGCGTCTAGTCGATGTAGAGTAGGTCTGGCTGGCTGTTCGATATCAGTCAGACTTTCACTCGCATGTGTACCGACATACATGCATACATACGGCGTTCTGGCCGGCCATAGAATCCCCCTCACCCTCCATTGTGTTCCTTTAGGTACGGCTCCGTGTAGCCATTTAGGATTGAGCTTCTTGGCATTTGGAAATTTCAGCTTTTGCACAGCAGACTTTACATATAAAGCTTTTCCCTAATGCCAAACACGTGGCCACATGGGCCCCCCCCGACGTGCTTCCCGGCGGCCCCCCCCGGGACCCCGTTACCATACACACACATACTTACATACAAACACACACATGCACGGCCCCCAGGCGGCTTTGTGTGCCACCATTCGCGCCATGGCGGATACTACCACGCCATCCGTCGCGTCATTGTCATCATCTCGGGCTCCGGAACCAAACCCACCCGCCTCTTCCACAACCACAACCACCACAACCGCCGCAACGGGAACTAGCGACCAGAACAAACGGCTGCAGCACCCGACGGGGGAATCAGACCGGTGTCAACACCAGGAGGGGAGAGCAGTGCCAGGCGCGAACGTATGCGCCGTGGGAAATGGGGGTGAAGAAAGCAGCGCCTCCGCAGCGGCGGCCGCGGCGGAAGCGACGGGTACGACGGCTGCTGCTACGGCAGCGGCGGCGGCAGCAGCGACGGGTACGATGGCTGCTGCTACGGTGGCGGCGGCGGCAGCAGCGGCGGCGGGTGAGCTCTGGGCAGCGGAAAACACCACTACTGCCCTTGGGATTGTACCGTTTGGCGGCGGCGACGGCGGCGGAGGCGGTCCTGGTCCGCCGTCGTACAGCTCCATGGCGCCGCCCCCTCCACCTCAGCCGGCGGAGGCGCCCGGGCCCTGCTGTGAGCACACGACTGGCAGTAGCGGCGGCGGTAGCAGTAGTGGCGGTAGGCTCATGTGGCAGTTTATGTCGATTACGGTTGGAGCTTCGGTTTTACCGTTGAACCGAGATCAGTTGGACCCAATTACCCACCGACTGATTACCAGCTGTCGGTGGGTTGGTCAGCAGGTACGGCAGCTACCGGGGGTTGGTGCCCATGCTGGAGATCGCAGTAACCCCATCATTTTCTATTCTTACATCATCGGGCCGTGGTTTCTTTAAGAGGAAAAACATTGATGTAGGAAATGAATGAGCGTTTGAATAAATAGTGAGTTAAATGAATGCGTATTATGAGTACCCTCTGTTATGGAGCTGTTTAGCATCCTTGTCTTCATCAGGAGTTATTTTGGCGCAACGGCTCTTCATCAGGTTCCATCATCATGACTCCACAACGTCTTCGTTGCACCCACACCATTTCACAGCAGGAAACTTTCCCTTTCGCGCTGTCCCTCCTAGAGCCCTTCCGCAGCCAATTTGTTTTGCCTTCATTTTCCACCTCCTCCTTTTTTTGCCTTCATTTTCCACCTCCTCCTTTTTTTGCCTTCATTTTCACGGAAGATTGTACCCCCCCCCTTGTGATCCCCCCCTGCAACCCTTTCCTCCCATATCATCCCCATCCAACCCAACCCACCCTCCTCCCTTCCCCAAAACGCATCCCTTCCCTCACCCCTTACACACACGCATACTAACCATACGTACATACGTACATTCAAACATACGTACACCTGCACCCACACACGCCGCAGCTAGCCGCAGCTCTGGCCGCCTCCCAGCCCGCCCTCTGCCGTCTCCGCCACCTGACCTCGCTGGAGCTCACAGCCGACACAGCCCTCTTCGCCGCCCTGGTGCCGCAGCTGGCGCGGCCCGGGGCCGCGCCCAGTCTTACAGAGCTTAGATTTACTCGGGCGGAAGCTTCTAGAGGGTCGCTTGGGCGGTGGCTGGCGGCGGCGGCAGCGGCAGGAGGAGGAGCGGGAGGAGGGGGGACGGGGTTGGGTATGGCGGCGGCGATGGAGGCGCTAGGGAGTTTGACTGGACTGAAATCCCTGTCATTGAATGCAGGTATGTGGGGAGAAGGATGGTGGGGGGGAGGTACCAGCACAAAGCTAGGAAAGCCGCCTGGCGACGTTTATAGCGAGGAATGGGGAGGAGGGGGGTTGAGAGGGGGGGTGATTTGTGGGGGTGATTTGTGGGGGATTTGAGTGGTGATTTGTGTATTTCCTGTGTGTAGAGGGGAAAGTATGAGTTAAAGGGGTTTCGCGATTACTTTGGTTTCGTACGGCTGCCCGGTCCCCTTCATTTCTCCGCGAAGCATGTGCTTGTGTGTGTACACGTGGGCTCGTTGGGTTTTGATTTTGGGCACATGATTCCAGTTCCACCTCCAAACCCCCGCCGCCGCTTCCTGATGTTAAAAGCTTAACACACACATATCACACACGCACACAAACATACATACGCACAAACACACACATGTGCAGGACTCCCCGGTTTGCCGTTAGCCGTGTCGCGTCTGTCCCACCTGGCGGCTCTGGAGCTGCATCACAGCGGTCGGGGTGTGACGGTGGTGGAGGATGTGGCGCCCCTGGAGGCGCTGACGGGCCTGAGCTGCCTCAAACTAAGGTGCGTGTGTATGTATGTGTGTGTGTGTTTGGAGGGGTGGAGAAATGAAAAGGTTGGTAGAGGAAGCGGGGGTCGCGGGGGGGGAAAGATTGTGTGAGAGGGGGTCCTTAAAGCTCTACTTTTTTTCGGGGGTTTGCTCACCCCCCCCCCGCCTCTCCACCCCCAACCCCTGCATCCGCGCCGTCATATGGCTGCCTGCTGTTCCTGGGGCTGGTGCCGCTGGTACTTAGAATGCGGTCGTTTGCGCCTTTTGCTTCATCACGATCATCACCATCATCACCATCATCATCACCATCATCACCATCATCACCATCATCACCATCATCACCATCATCACCATCATCATCACCATCATCACCACCATCAATATCATCATCAGTAGCAGCTCCCCCCTTTCCCCTTCAGCCCTTCCCCTCCCACAACCATTACAACCACCACAACCAATTTATCTCGGGTGCACAAAACCTTTTGCGTAACCCCTCTTGCGTAAACCCCAAACACCATCAGGTACATGGCTCTTCGCGACATCTGGCAGCTGACTCGCCTGACCTCCCTGACCTCCCTGGACCTCACCGTGCGCGGCTTCTTCGCTTCCGAGGGCTTCGCTGACGGCGAGGACGAGCTGGACGAGCTGGATAACCTAGATGCGGCTATGTTGGAGGGGGGGGGAGGAGGGGGGGATTGGTTTGGGGGACTGCCGCCGCCGGTGGTGCCGCCGCCGCCTCCGGCGGCGGCGGCGCTGATCTTTCCTGTCGGCGGCTTAGGCCTTCATCATGCCATTGCAGCTGCCGCCGCAGCGGCGGCGGCAGGGCCTGGAGGAGGACAGCAGCAGCAGCAACAGCCGTTGCAATTTGGTTTTGCAATGCCGCCGCTGCAGCAACAGCAGCAACAGCCGCCGCCGCCGCCCCCAGCAGCAGCAGCAGCGGCAGCGCTGCAGGGCCAACCGCTTGCTCTGTCACTCACGCCGCCACCCCAGTCCGCGCCCGCGGATTTTCCTTTGGCCTATCGGTTGAATCATCCCGGTGTCGCGTCTGTGTGGCATGCTCACAACCCTCCCCTCCCAAACCCACATGACCTGTTCAACCCCAACGCAACTCATTATAATCATCAGCACCAACCCCACCCTGCTGCCTGGGCCGCGCTGGGACAACTACCCCCACTGCAGCACCAGCCGCACCTGCATCACCACCATTTCCGTCAAGAACACCAAGTACAACAGCAACAACACCAAGTACAACAGCAACAGCCTCAATCGCCTCCGCTATTCCACCATACGACCACGACCCGGCAGGACCAGAACTTGCATGCACAGCAAGAAGGACTGGCGGCGGCGGCGCCGCTTCCGCCGCCAGGGCTGGCAGGTTCTGGTGGTCCAGTTCTGGCACTGGGCTGCGGCGGCGGCGACGGCGACGGCGGCGGTGGAAACGTGTGGCGTCCACTCCTTTGTCCGTTTCCTGGAGGGCTCAGGGAAGGAGGTGTTGGCGGGGAAAGAGGACCGGCCTCTGCAGCGCTATCGGCAGCTGCTGATGATGCGGCGGCGGTGGCCGCTACAGGAGCCGGATGTTCTTCAAGTTTTGGTGGCGGCGGCGGCGACGCTACAGCTTCGTCTGCGGGTGCTGGCGGCAGCGGCGGTGCCGGCCCCGCCGTCGATGCAGCGGGCGCTGCCGCTGGCGGAATGAATGCTGTTGCGGCGGCCGGTGCTACGGAGGATGTGTACGACCGACGGCCGGGCTGCAGTGATGGCGGCGGAGGCGGAAGGGAGGAGCCCATGGCAGGTAGCTCCGGCGGCGGCAGCGGCGATGGTGGCGCCGGCGGGAGTCTTGTGGGATTTGGGTCTTGGATGTTCGGAGATGGCGGTTACGAGAGTGACTCCGATGGCGCTGTTACGTTCAGCTTAACATCATCCGCCGCCGGCAGCGATTATATCGCCGAGGACGACGGCGGCGGCGGCGGCGGCAGCGGCAGCGGCATTCCAGGTGTCTTAGGGGACCGCCTGGCAAGGCGCGGCGGAGGCGATGACGTTGCAGGTGCGGCGGCGGCAGGGCGCGGCGGCGGCACCTCTGTCCTTCCATCTTGTAGCGGCTGCGTTGGGGTCAGCGGAGGCAGCTGGTGGTCTCTAAGGGAACCTCCGGAGGCGTCTCAGGGTGCTCAGCGGCAGGCGGCGGCTGTGTACGGCGCGACCTTCAACAGCGGCGGCGGCGCCGCCGCCGGAGGTGTTCACCTCCGCTTTGACGAAAGCCCGGCAACTGCTGGCGTGAAGCTTTTATCGGCGTCACAACAACAGTTGTTGGGTGAACCAGAGGCGATGGCAGCGTTGGCGGCGGCGGGGCCGCCGTACGGCAGCAACCTTTTGCCTGGTGCCGCTTCGGCGGAGGCGGCGTTGCCGGACCACAACCTATCAGACGCCTCGGGCCCCTTGCTGAATGGAGTGGCGGCGGCCGCAACGACGGAGGCGGCGCCCGCGACGGCTGGCTCCCTTTTGCCGCCGCTAGCCTCCCCGCCACAGGTACGGCGTGCTGGCGGCGGCGCTGGCGGCAGCGGCTCCGCTGGCGGTGACGGAAGAGGAAGAGGAGGAGGAGCGGATGCAGGGACTACACAAGAACTGTCGGCTGCTGCTGCTCCGATTGCTGACGCTGACATGGCGACGGCGACGGCGGTATCGTCACCGCCGCCGCCGCCGCAGGCTGGCGGCGGTAGTGAGGGGCACCAGGCTGCTCCTGGCGGCGTGGCGGAGGCGGGGGTCGACGCAGGTCCTGCCGCTGCCGCTGCAGCTGCTATTGTTGAAGAAGGACAGGACCTCCTAGAGGCGGATGATGATGATGATGACGACGAAGATGATGAAGATGATGACGCGGAGGCTGACGAGGCAGCGGCGGAGCTGGAGGCGGCGGAGGTGGCCGAGGCCATCGCGCACGAGGGCAGCCTCAGCCGGCAGTTGTGGCAGGTGGTCGCTGCGCTACCCGGCCTCCGGTCGCTCAACGTCAATGCCTGGCACGAGGTAAGGAGGCAGCTGCTACTGCTGCTGCTGTCGTTGTTGTTGCTGCTGCTGCTGCTGTCGTTGTTGTTGCTATTGCTATTGCGGTTGCGACTGATGTTGTTGCTACTGGACCAGGCCCATGTGGATGGTGGTTGTTGGTAGGAGATGTGTTGCTGTCTACTTTGCTGCGAGTGACCATCGATCTGTTTGTGCCCTTTGCTTGCTGTACGATTACCAGTACGAAGAGATTTGTCAGAGCAGCCGTCAAGGTAAATATGTGACTTTTTCCTCCGTTACCCTCCCTTACTCTCCCTCTATTTGCTTGTTGCCTGTTCTGGACATGGTAAATATTCGCCCACATTTATCGTCCTCAGTATTTTCTCCTACAGTACAAACATATGCACGTGGTGCCGTACAGTGCCTGTAGTATTGGCGTTGATAGTGAGGGTGAACCAGGAAAAAGATCTTTTATAAGGCCCACCTCTACACCTCCTCACACCAGTAATTAGTTCAAGGATTATGTGTTTCCAGGTGCCCTCACTCCTTCCCCCCGCGTAGCTCCGTACAATTGGCTGTACCCGTACGGAACCCGTGCAGTCGGCTGTACCCGTACGGAACCCGTACAGTCGGCTGTACCCGTACGGAACCCGTGCAATCGGCTGTACCCGTACGGAACCCGTACAACAAGTCACGCGACACCCCTTCGCCCTCGTTTAGATCCATTGCTTCCCCCCCTATCCGTTGCTTTCCCCCCCCCCCTCACCTTCGTAAGGCCCCTCTGGATGACGAGCGGCTGGGTGAGCTGGCTAAGCTGAGCCTGCCGTGGGGAGGTCAACTGCCCGTACCTAGCGGACTGACCTCCCTAGGGTTACTGCTGCAGGTGGGACGTGTGTGTATGTGTATAGGTATATGTGTGTGCATGTATGTCTGTCTCACCCTTTTTTACAATACATACATACATACACACATACATACATACATACACGCAGGCCTCCAGCGCCTCCGCCCGCCTCTCCTCTCTATCTGATCTGCGGGAGCTCAAGGACCTCACACTGGTGGTGGCGCCGCCCAAGGTGGGTGGTGGTGGTGGTGGTGGTGGTGAGGTGCCTGAGAGAGTTTGGGGGGGGAAGGGAAGAGACGTGAGCGGCAGTATTATTATTATTACTAGTAGTAGTAGTAGTGGCAGTATTAGTAGTGGCAGTACTAGTAGTAGTAGTGGCAGTACTACTAGCGGTTGTTTTTGTTGCATTGCCGCTACCACACTACACATGCTCACAGCGCCACTGCAGACGACGTACGACATGCAGTGCAAAACTGCCGAATATCGTACGATGGTCGTTGCGCGTGTGATGTAGTTATTGTACGGGCAACTCCGTGGGGAGCTGTGTACTGCATCTCCTCGATGGCACTGGGCAACGTGGCCTATCTCCCGTACGTATGGTTGGGACAATGCCGTACGTAGGGCTCCGGTGGTCGCCTGCCTCCCCCCGCCGCCGCTGCCGTACAACTAAGTGTCCTGGATATCGAGTACGACAGTGAGGACGAGATGGACGACAAACCCGACGGTGCGGGGCCGTCGGCCGCACATCCTGGCGTGGAAGTAGTGGCTACTGGCGGCAGGGCCAGCGGCCGTACTGCAAACGTCGGAGAGCAGCAGGAGCTGCCGCCCCCGCCGCCGCCGCCGCCGCAGCAGCAGCAGCAGCAGCAACAGGAGCAAGAAGACGCCACGATGGGGGATCTATGGGATAACGGCGGCGAAGAGGCCGCCGTGGAAGTCGATGATGACGTGGAGATGGCGCCGGCGCCGGCGCATTCGCAGGCGTATCCGGCAGCGGCGGCGGCGCCAGTGACGGCAGCCATGGACACCAGCTCCGTCGACGGCGACGGCCCTGGTGCTGCCGCCGGTATCGGCGCCGCCGCCGCCGGCAGCAGCCCTGTATACCACCTGGCGGCTCTTACCGCACTGGAACGGCTTCGGTTGTACGACGACCCTGGAGCACTGCCTGTGGATCAGGAGGCCGCCAAGGTGTGCATGTATGTATGTATGCATGCATGTATGTATGTATGTACATTTGTGGGTTTCCGTATCGCCCCTCTTTCTAAGGGGGCCCGGCTATGGTGGTGATGGTGATGCATATTCGGGACGTGGGTGGGTGGCTCAAACAGTGTTGATACGAGGACACTTTTACCCCTGATGATCTTTCCCTCTCAAGCCCCTTCCTGCCCTGCAAACGAAGGTCGTCCGTTAAGCTAACGGAGCATAACAACCCCCCCAAACCCCTCGGTTCGATCCCGTCTCTCTACAATGACAGTTTTTATCCGTTGCTTGGTCCAAATTGAACGACATTTACATTTTGGGGTCCATAACGCTCCAGCGTTCCGCGGGCCTTATGTTCAGTCGCCTCGCACATCTGGATCTTTTCAATCAGGTGGGAAATTACGTTGTACGAATGCTCTGGAAAAACAATACTGATAATTACGTTGGTAACATTTCCGTGTTGCTTGTTTGTGTTGTTGGTTAGGAGTAGAACGGTTGGTAGCTGGGGGTTGCGAGGAAAATTGAGAATGTGGTAGCAGTGTGTACGACCACCGCGGGGTGTTGGAAGAGGGATCGGTTGGGTTGGGGGGAGGGGGAGGAGGGGGATAGGTGGGGGTTTGGAGGGAAGAAAAGAGAGTTGTGTGTGTGTGTATTGTCGGCATGTTTTCCTCCCCTAACCCCCTCCTCCCCTAACCCCTGCGGCTTCGGTCTGCATGTATGTATGTCTGTGTGGCTATCTATCCTGGCCATCCCTGCCCATCCTTCTACGTGTCCTTTCCCTAGCTTTTTTCTTGTCTATTTTTCTCTTCTTTGTATCACTTTTTTGTTTCCTTTATTTCTTTTTCTCTGTAACACTGTAACACTGCACCAATGCACCAGTCAGTCGTACATTCACGTACCCCTGCGACATCAAGAGGTTTTTTTTCCTAACATGATTGACTTGTCCTCTTCCCGACTTCCCGTGACCTTTGCCTTCCCTGGTGTAGACGTCAACGGTGCCGTACAGAGTACAACTGCATCACCTGCCCCCATCTCTACGCGCGTTAGGCGTGCAGAATGCCGTACTGGAAGGAGCTAACCGTGCCGGACAATTGCAAGTTAGTTGGGAGTTGGGAGTTTAGGGTTGGGATCGGTTGCTTTCATGGAAAGTTACCGGTGGTTTATTGAATGATTGGCTCTCTCTGTTTGTCTGTCTATCTGTATGTCTGTATTTTATTAGTCTATGTTTGTCCGGCCTTTTGCGGCGGCCCATGTGGACCGTCGTACAACGACCCAACCACTTCCCCACCCCCTGCGTCGCTCCTGCAGTCAGTACTTGAAGGCCTGTCGCTGTATGCTACCGTACACTGGCCTTTACGTGCAAACGGCGGTACGGATATGTACGACTGGATTGCAGGATGTGACAAGCTGGCGAGGTGTGTTTTTGCTGCACGGGGAGCAAATGGGCTGTCGTTGGAATTGGTTACGGGGTGGTTAGGGGTTGGGGCGGGGGTGGTTAGGGGGTGGGGCGGGTGT